GTGTGTGTGTGTGTGTGTGTGTGTGTGTGTGTGTGTGTGTGTGTGTGGCGTTTTCTCTGCTGCTGGGGAAGCCAAATATGGAAAGTTGGAAAGGCTTTAAAAGGGAAGAAAAGAACATGCAGGTGGAACCCAGAGAGGTGTCAAGTGCCAACCTCACGGCTTCCACGGAGCCAGGCTGATGGCCACAGGGGAAAAGAGGTGCCCTGTGCCCCCCTCCCGCCCCCCCCGCCCCCAGAGCACTTACTCCAGGTGGCTGTTCTGGGAGTCCTGCTGGAAGTGCCAGAGCTTCAGGAAGTCCAGGAATTCGCTCGGCAGCGTTCTGTTGTACAGGATGATGCCCTGGGGCAAAGAGAGCAAGCAGCCGGGTGAGCCTTCCTCCCGCGGAGCTGGAGGGAGGACTCTCCTAGCACAGGCTGGGGGCCCTGCAAGCCAGCTGCACTACCAACCTGCAGGTATGCCTCCAGGCCCTGGCGCCGCTGCTCCAGCGCCTTGGTCATCCACCTGGGCACTCGCTTTGGCGGGAACTCGGGGACTCGGCATCTCTTCTTGATCTGGGACGGAGCGCACAAAAGCACCATTGAGTGCACTGACACTCGCAGGGCGCCACAGTCCAACAACACAGCAGGTTTTGTGCTTTGCCCACACCTTGGGCAGGCCAAGCTGTCGTGCATGAGTCCTGCTCCTGGCCTCCCCGGAGGTATCTGGCAAGCAGATCTGCCCCAGCAGCATCCTCCGGTTCTTGTGTCGGATCAAAGTGAGCACTTGCAAGCCCAGACAGGTGCCGGTTCTCATTCCCCAAGGCAGGCAGATCTGGGTGGCCATGTGGGCCCTGTCTGGTTTTCTCCAGCCTGGCTTTCTTGCAGTGTTTTGGACTCCCAGCCCCCGTCAGCCCCAGCCAAAATGGCCAGTGGTCAGGCGTACAGGGAGTTGTAGCCTAAAACAGCTGGTGAGCACCAGGCTGGGGAAGGCCAATGCAGCGGTCCTGGGACACATTTGGAAATGTGGCGCTCACTGGGACAGTCCCCAAAGAAACCTGGAGCATCAGGAAGTGGCGTTGATCCGTATCAACAGACTTCTAGCAGTGTCGGGCCGGTCTGTTGCAGAGCGCATGGCCCGTTCCAGACCGAACGCCTCTAAAACGGAGCAGTGACAGGGAAACCCACCCCCTGCCGCTGCCGTGGGGGAAAGGGGAGGCTGGCAGGTGCCTCCAGCAGCGCTGCGGACTGAGGCATGCCCTCGGGGCCTGGGCCTGGTACTCACCCTTTTATGAAGCGCGTGGAACTCACTGTAGCGCTTCTCAGTCGAGTGTTTCCTCCCGTTGCAAACGATGTCCACCCGGAACACCTGCAGCAGCACGGAGAGGCGCGTCATTGGACCCCCACACCCCAAAGCCTCCCCGCACTTGCCGGGGCTGCCTCGTTTTTACCGCCAGCATGTGGCTGGTTCACGGTGAGCAACTCCTGTGCCACCCGTTTCCTCTGAGGGTATTTTTAATACCAGTAGCTCTGCAAAGGTGGCCAAGACCCCCCATGTCCACACGCTGCATTGCTGGGGGGTAATGGGGATCGGCTCCGAGGCCAAAACAAGGGCTGGTTGACCGAGTCCAGTTCAGCCATCAAGACTTCCTGCTGGTCACCGCGACGTTCCCCACAAGAAGCCCCTTCGCCACAAAACAGACTCGCCAGCTGGGGGTGGACTTGGGGGAGGTGGACTGAGCAACTCCAGAAAACCAGTCGTGAGGCGTTTTGCTGAATCGTTCACTGGAATTTACCATTTCTCTTGAGATTCAGACAGATGGAGAAGTGAGGAAAAGGCAAAATGGATAAAAGCTTGGAGTGCATCTTGATATTCATGCTTTATCTTGTTAGCTACAACAAAAATAAGCTGTGACTTATTTTCATGCTCCTTTCCCACAGAAAAAGAGCAGAGTGTGGGCATTGATTTGTTTGTTCAATGATTGCGTGTCAACCCGTATTCGGGCGCTGTGAGCACACGAACCATTCTCAGGGAAGCTGAGAGTTTTCTGCCACAATTAGGCACACACGCAATCAGGAAGAAGTTCGCCTTGGCCAGGGATGTGTGCCCTGGGCAACCTGGAAAACAACACGGTGTGGTCTTTTACAATGCATTACACAAGCGTGTGTGTCCTTTTGTCCTTTTACATTTTATTTCACTTCTGGCAGCCACTGGAAAGGTTGGAAAGGGAAAGAGAAACAAAAGGAGGACCAATAGTTATGCAAGACGTTGACCTGTAATCAGTGGAAGACTTGGCTGCCTTCCCCTTTCACCAAGTGCTGGTCACAAAACTTTAGGCCTATCACTATTGCAATGAGGTCTAGAAACTTGCTTCAGAAAGTCATCAGATTCATTAGGGAAGGATCATACCTCGGTGGCAGAGCACATATTTTACTTGCAGGTTGAATCTCAGGTGTCCGATGCCATGTTGCCTTTTTGGAAATGCCGGCCCAGATGGCTCCATCACCCAGCTTGGCGTGAGAACGATGAGAACGACAATTTCTGTGCCGTGTGCTGGGCTGCACCAGGACTTAGTTACACTAACTGCAGACCCACTGCAGTCCAAGGGTAAGTCTGCCAGAGGGTCTATTCGAGGCATGATTAATCCAAGCCCCCAAACTTGATGTTCCCTCAAATGAGGCAGAGTTTCTCCTTGAAGCAAACAGGCGCTTCCAGCCAGATTGCAGAACCGCCTCGAGGGGGCACGGCAGGCATCACCAGCCGCCTCGCGCAACAGCGCGCAACCTGGCGCGGGGCTGCGCCGTGCAAGAGCCACCGCGGAGTCGAGCTTCGCCCACTGTGCGCCGCAAGCTCCAGGCGCAACTTCAGCCTTTCGTCCACTGCAGATGCCCCGACGAAGGGCCTTTCCCCGAGCAATTTCCAGAGGGGCAGCAGCTGAGCTGAGCTGAGCTGAGCAACCCACAAGTTCAGCTCTCTCCCCTTGGCCGGGCGGAGGCGCCTCTTTGTCTTTAAATCCGCGGCAGGTGTGACCGGCAACACGCCCTTCGTCGGAGGGCCGCTGCAGTTACTCACGCTAGGCGTGAAGGGTGAGTGAGTGTGCAGCACGCGCGATCTCTTGCACTGCTTCTCCCTCTGGCCTCATTCTGCGCCTTCGGCTGCGGGCAGCGCCCGGCTTGCTGGCCGCCGAGCGCCCGAGGAGCCGCGGTGAGGCCGCCGGAGCTCGCGCCCCCGTAACGGCGCCGTCAGCCTCGCGGGGGGGCGATGCTTGGGCGCGAATGGACTCCGCCGCCCCGACCGTCCAAGAGGCCGCGTCCCGCTGGAGCCGCGGGCCCCTCCGCCGCCGCGCCCGGCCAGCACGAGGCCCCCGCCTCCTGCCCGCCGGCCTCCCCCGGGGCGCCCGCCCAGCTCCGCGGCAGGAGAGGACACGGCGCGCGGGAGCCCTGCGGCGCCGCGCCGCCACTCACCGTGCGCGCCCTCTCCGCGCTCGGGGCCGGCCCGGCCGC